TGGTCATCTTCTCAAGCATTTCCATTACAGAATCTCATAATACATGGTTGGTTGTCTGTAACCTATCACGCTAAGGCTAATTTTCTGAATGGTTGAATGTTGAATCATCTAACTACTTCCACAAATCTTATTTTCTCACTCAACACTTCAACATCACCTGCAGTCGACAACCTCATCCAGAAAAATCAAAACGTGTTCATACAAGCAGTATGCTTGAAACCATGTATTCTCCATGTGACATTCGGATAGAGTGTAATGCGTCGGACCAAATCTCAACGAATTTCAACTTTGATATAATAACAAAATCGAAACTGTAGGAATAAATGAATACTCATCCTAGCCATATTCACCACCACCACACAACAAATGTTTTATCAACACAGATAATGTATATCAATAAAGTATCTCTGAATAACGTAAATGTGATCATTTCGAAGTAGGGTAAACAGGGTGAGTAGGAATGACAGGCATCCAGTAATTCAACGAATCAACAAAGTTGTCGAATGACTGACTATGTTGCACCTCCGAGGAACAAAATACTGAGCTCCAAAACAATGCACGAATTGCAGACGAAATGTAGACAATAGTTGAAATTCATCCGGGAACTCAGAAATGTTATGAGTTGTTACATTGTTGAGAATGGAAGCTCCAATGTTTTGTGAAGAAGTGGTTTATCGTCAGTAGAATGCGAAATGACATTTTGATGGTGCTGTAAAAATCTCCACTCATTTGTAACACCTATAACATATATATCCTCACCGTTAACTCGATTTCAAGCCTTTAACAACAGGATGATATTGACCCACATCACATTCTTCTGACACACATCAACAAACAACTCATTCTCTCCGAAAATTGCTTCATTTTATTGAAAGCTTGTGATAATGCGCTCTATAGTGTGCTGTGAGTTAATTACGTATGAGTGCATTGATTGTGTTTAGTTTATCAATGTGAGAATGACATGCGATTACTCTGGTCTAGTATATTTACGCAACGAATTACATTATGTTATGCAAAGAACAGTGGAACAGGAGTATTTGCTGTTAGTTGGTGGTGTTTTTAGCTCAATCTATCCTTCATAATTATATGTAGGTGCTCACACGACTTCAGACATCTACGTTACATAATTCTGTCAGATTTTCAAACTCAGATATATGCAAATTTTTATAATCCTATCTTTGATGACAATTGGCTGACGTTCTATTGTTTTATTGCTTCTTTCTTAACGTGCATCTGAAACTCTCTGAAACTCTCACAAAATTTCTGAAGATCTAGTATCTGACTCAAGTTGAGAAATCATCAAATTCAAAATAATTCAGCGATATAAATGTGAAACCGAAAAAACTGCATTAAGACTATGGTAAGATTGAACACACTTCTGCGTGCAGGGATCAGGCTTGAATCGATGAATTTCCACTGCTTCTGATGTACACACCTGTTGAAAGCGTACATCTTTTGAAGTGTTTATTCTGACACTTTAGATGACACTGAAGGACGACTCTAGTCGAGCTGTATGTCCACAGTTGACGAAATGTTCAAAAATTGAACTGTTAGTCGATCTACATCCTCCTCTTGACAACCATACAGGATAGTGCTCAGAGATGCTTTAGGAAAGTGCGCGCTTTATGTGGCCTTTCAAAACAGCTCCACAGGAGCAAATAACTTTTCGACACACACTGAGGTGACCCGATGAGATAGCTTGTCCTTAACACTCCGCAATATTCTATTCCCAGCTATCTTTTGACTGACATAAAAGGAAGTGATAGCAAACACATCAGAATAACAAGAAATTGAAGTCAGTTGAATGAGAAGAAGGTTGGCTCGTCAATTGTTAGACAAATTATCAGTTATAACTTGAACACGGTCATGACATCAATGTTTCACCGTCTTAGTGTCATCATTTCTCACATCTTTTCATAAACAGAAATTCCTTGGTGGACTTGAAACAGTTGATACTAAAAAAAACGTAGTGTTACAAAAATCGGCGTGTAGAGAAATGAACCAAGATTCATACCAGTATTTTTATTATTCTTATCCACAGTGTTCTCCCTACCATGTAATAACAACATGAAATTTGTCATATTTACTTATCTATTCACAGGTTTTTTTTATCTGCACGACAGAATATGAAGTACTTAGGCCAATGAATGAAACCTCAATAAACTATCCTATGAAAAGAGAGGAGGAATGTAGTGCATGGAATACCTGTGTGTTAATCCTTTTATATCTAAGTATGCGAAATCCCAGATTTTTCTTCACTTCTACTAGTGCCGTATTTCCAAGCCTATTTTAAATAGTATACAACCCTCTACAGTTCAAATCGTTTCTAACTAACCTGAGTGATACATTGTCACAAGCTATTTGAGGCGATAAGAGATGGACAAGTGAAATTCATTTTTCTCAGCTTACGTGGTACATATTTGATTGGATCTGGCACTAGAATGGGCAGAACAGCTTGTTATGTTCCAAAATGAAGTAAAAGAAGAGAGCGGTGGTTGGAATCTTAGAATATGCTAGATGTATATCCCATGCTTCAACCTACCCTAATAGCCTTACCAGGTTAAACTTAACGAGCGATCTCTAATTCATCTTTCCGTGTATTTGTTATCCAAAGGCCCAAGCATTAAAATGAGCAGTTGCACTGTGTTTGGCAACAAAAACATAAGACGAATATAAAATGGCACAATTCGTACTTCATGAGAACTAGGAACAGTATTTCCTTTTTACAGCCTTTTCAAGTGTAAACAAAATTCATAATTACGTTAAACATCACGCTTGCAGCTTAAAAATGTTGGGCATTTGCTGTGAATCATGCCAAATAAGTTTGTAGCAGTCTACATCTGTTGAAGTGGTCAAGGTATGATGCGATGGATGTAGTTTTCATGTTATTGCTTTTATTATCCTGTCGTTGACTGGACCAAATTGATTGGTCTCCGTTAGTATATGGGCTTCTCCGCTGACACCTCGTTATTTCCTGTATTTCAGTTCTACATTAATGACAGATGAGCGACAGTGGACACTTGAACAATAATCTTCAGATTCCACCCCTTGATGGTCACTCAGGATCTCGATAGGTGGAAAAGACGGTAAGGCGACAAAAGATAGATTTCACAGTCAAAATATCTACAAAAGGCAAGGGTCTAAGTATATTTACAATGGCCTTGACCATTTCCAGACCTTTTGTAAATTAGAATATCCCACCCATTTTTCTCTCTCCAACCAATCTGATACATACACGTTGCTTCACGTTCTCTTTCCCAAGACTTCGAAGAAAAACGGTTGGCTTCAAAACGCTGCAGGGATTTAATGCTTCTTATGCGAATCTAGGCAATCCTAATGGACACTATAACACTATCAATTTCATGAAGTTTGTTGAGGCTTTACGACCTCAGTAATTATCACTCAGACTGAAGCTCCACGAATGTTGACTAGAATTTCTTAGAAAACATCAGATCTCTACACATCTCAAGTTAGCCTTCCTGTAGAGAGCCAGCAAGCAGCAAACTTAGAGGAAGTCGGGTTTTCTTTCAATTATCTTCAACAGTCCGATATGAATGAAAACATACCATAGTGCTAAACTTTCTGGTGCTCTGACTGTATGACAAAATGATCTACAACATTAGATCAGCGTGCAGAAGATGTCAGGATACAATTAATTGACTTCACTGCGCTTTGATGTATATATATTATCCGTACTGACTGGAAGTTATTTAAATCTTGGAAGGTCCTACTCTGAATGGCTGGACTGTATACCTGGAGACAAGATTTCAAATGACCAGATCATCAGTAGTCTTTCTGCTTCAAACACAGTCCATTAACCCACCATGGCATCTCGTGTAACGTAATGTTTGATAAAAACGCTTACAACCTATCAAAAATCATACTACTTGCATCGATAAAACAACTTGGATTTTTTTACCGGTTTTGGCGAATATCCTTATCTGCACTACAAATATCTATTGCTGGATACCAGTAATATCTCAAGGTAGGTGTAGACACGTCAGTGCATCAGTTACCACATGTCTGCTCCCTGAAAGCTTGAATGAAAAGAAATAAAGAGATGCTGTGTTAGTATGCATTCAGACGAATGAAATATTACGGAAACTAACAATGTGCATTCAGTGTAATGCTGACATACACAATATTCAATGGGTGATCAAAATGAATAGTGTCCTTTTATCAGGCATTTCAAATTCTTCTAAAGCCAGAACATATTCAAGTTTCCTGAAAAACAATAGGCAAAATGTTTACAATGTAAAGTTAAGAGAACGAATGATTATGACTTACAGTTGATAGTCAAAGGTTGAGAAGGTTCAACCCGAATGATTCGCAACGAGAAAACAAGAGATTGGTAATCAACTGAGTTTACAGTACCCCAGTAACCTTGAAACACAAAGAATAATTAGTACATTTAACGAGGTAGGAGACAATCAGAACACTGGCGCACTATATAAAATCTGATCTATGGGCGAAAAAAGGAGCGCGTAGGAGCAGTTCAAATAATATATACAATCTGTAGGCATGAAATATAGGGGATAAAGATACCCTGGCAAATATCTTGGAATCTAGATCATCGTACATACACTGTGAGTAGAGAGATATACAGCATCGTTTTAGATACTGGCGTTTAACGCACGTGCAGGAACAAAATCGAATGGCCACTGAACGTCCTACGATAATTTAATGCTATCACTTTTGACAAATGTGATTACAACAATGGGAAGTAGTAACTAGTCGTTTGAACTGATAACTTGACATAAAAATAAACTCTGTTCAGATTCATTTAGGCTACATGTTCTAAGAATCTAGTTAATATACACTCGGGGGAAGTAACCTTAGTAACTGAAGCTTAACTGGTCTAGCTCCTACGTGTGTAAATCAGCCACCAAAACTTTAATTAGATGTCGTTATATACAGTCAACTACAGTGGTTTAAATAATATGCACATCGATCCTGAATGGTGGGGGAAAATTGAAAATTTTTATTGCGATAATTGATAGATGATGCCTCAGTCGCTTCCCTGTGTTACTGTTAAACAAGAAAACTGTATTCCTATACAGCTCATACACTTCTCTGGTATGAAGGCAAAATTTTTTCGTGCAACCAAGTTTCAATCGCACTTTATATTACCAGTATTTTATATACGATTACTCCATGGTTTAGACAAGAAAATAACTGCGCTACATTTCAAAATACCAATTGGTATAGACTGTAGTTCAATACTGGAACAGATTGTTTGTACATCAATGCAAAATGTACTCAAGAATAGTGGACTTAACATTCCACTTCAAAATATGTGTGTACCTTCAGAGTATATTTCTAATCTACACAAACTGCTGAACTACACTTAAGAAAGCACCATAAATAATCACTACTGAATACAGATGGCAAGCGGCCTGCCTGAATAGCTGAGATGCCTAATTTTCCACTTCACAAATTTCATCAAAGTTTTCTATAATTTGTTCGTTTTGATCAATTTATTATGTTCTCTGATCGCATTATATATTCTTGCATATTTTTAAAACTTTTATGACCTTCTGCGGTACCAGTATCAAATAAGGTGAGGAAACAGCATCACGGTGGATGGAGACGTACTTTGATGAGAATAACCTTATCTCAAATTACTCTACCTGAAACTACAAGCATCAACTGCAAGTCACTGCATGCAAAAGGGAATTACTTATAATCTGTTAAATCTACCGATGTGTACCGTAATACTGAAGTAATTGCAATGCAACAAACTTGATTACATGAACTTGATGGTGACAATTTGGTGTCTCTGAATGGCTTCAAGATTTTCCGTCAGCATCGATGCACCCCTACTAATAAATGTTTGGGTGGTGTGGCTACCTCCATCAATACCCATTGGAACATTTCAGATTGCATATGTTTGACATCCTCAGATCATTACATAGACTGCATCACCGTTAAATGCAGCTCAAAACATTCGAACAAGTATCGCCTTATTTATACCATAAATATTTATATAATGCGTGGTTCCTGTTAGTCCGAAATATCTGGTTTCTCTGATACATTCACATAACTCGTAGCCCCTATACTCTGTGGTTTCTTGTCGATAGTATGCGGTGTTTTCAATTCACGTGACCAAAGCTTTCTCAAAACTTATGGTCATCAGAACCTTGTCAAATTCACAACACATCAGAATACAACATTAGACTTGGTATTCATCAGTGATACTGAGATATATGAAACTCGAAAGATAGCCTCACTGCTGAGCTCAGATCATTGCATAATATTTGTTCTGACCGGGACATATGTCAAACCACACATATCAGCCTTCATATATTAGAAAATTGTACATAGAAAGTGTTCACTTAGTAACATAGCTAATCTAAGAGAAATGCTACAATGTACAGACTGGAATATATTTGGTAGCGTTGTTTTGAACGACACTATTGATGATGTGACATGTAATCTTAATTTCTGCCTGAATATCTCTTGCCCTAGAGAAAAGCTTTTCCTACGCTTCGATTGTATATCTTCTCACCGGCCTAAGACACTAAGATGAGAGAAAGAGAGAATATATAAAGTAAGTGATAATGCTGATGTTCGTCGACTGAATATTCTGATTAGGTTGGAAATTACACGTCGGACTCTACTATATAACCAGAAACGTTTGTCGACCAAAGGCTCTCTCAGTATGTAGAAACTTTTCAAAGTCCTCACTGGTAGTAAACACTGTAGTAAAGAAGCACATGTTGACTTCTGTGCCTTAAACAAATCATTCATACGCCAACTTACCTGTTCCATCTCCCTGTGTGCACATATTTCCAATGAGGAATCTTGTCCGGAATTCACTGAGAAGGTTGTTTTTAAATGTCTCAAGTCCCTGAACCCTTCACACAGCGTAGGTCCGGATGGTAAGTGGACATTCATATGCATGGGGTGTGCTGATATTTTGTGCCATCCACTGGCTAACACGTTTAGCAGATCATTTTCAGAATACACTATGCCAGGTACATGGAAAGATATTAAAATAGTCTCCGTATCTAAGTCTGTGGCTCCAGGCTCATTTCTGAAATTCCGTCTGATTGCAGTTAGTCCTCCTTTTTTGAAACTAGTAGAGAGGCCAATAATACTCATGCTTGGACCTTCATTAAAGGTTTCTGGTGAACCTTATCAGTTTGCATTCAGACCAAGCTATCATGATGCCACCTAAATCTTATATCCGGATAATGCATTATAATTTTGATAGAAATGTGAAGTGTGTCATGAGTGCTTTTTTAGAGCATACTATAGCATTTGATTCTGTCCCAAAACCTCTTTTGCTAGAAAAGCCAGCCAGGACTAATACTGATTCATGGATAATCACCTGGCTGTGTTCCTATTTCTCTGAAAGGAAACAACATACGGCTGACACAGGGAAGTGCTACGCCTCTGCTTTCTGTGACTTGAATTCCCCGGGGAGCTATCCTTTCCTCGTCTTTTCTCTTTCTTTCTGCGTGATCTACCATCTGTAGCTGGTACCAATTTCATCAGGCATGCCGATGGCCTAACAATTTCCACACTTATTTCCTCTTCAGTAGATTGTTCCCAAATGAATGATTTCCTATCTATTACTATAGGATGGTCGCCGGGAAGGGTCTTATGCTTAATTCTTCAAAATATCAGCCCATAAACTTCAGTTTCAAACGAGAAGAAACCCTGTGCAGACTGTTTAGTTCTCATGATTCCAGTTCTATTGGTTGTTGTGTATTAGAGAATGCTACAAGTTTGATTTATCTCGGCGTGTGTTTTTCTTTGGACTTCTCCTGGTCCGTCCATATCTTACCAATTTCAAAAAGAAATTTCCACCTAACTTTCTGTATAAGGAAGTTGGGACTGTTTGGTATAACTCAGCCTCTCTCTCTTGCATCTTGCCTGTTCTCCTTTGGTACTTCCCTTTTATTTTTTCCCGAGTTGCTGAAATGGGACTACGCCATACCGCTTAGAACCTTGAAGACTTCGATAGCGTAATTAGAAAACGAAGTTTGTCTGAATAACGTGATGTATTTGTAGTGCACCTTCCTGGCGCCGAAATATAACTAGGGCTGAAATAAACAGTTTAAATCAAATTAACTAAATAAATCTCTAGCTTGCCTCCGGATGCTTAGGGTGTTTTAAGTTTTGTTTTAACGAGCATGCATCCGAGCAGGCTTGGACGCAATTTTGCGCCCCATTGTGCTGGTTACCATGCACGTACTCCGAGACCCTAGTTCAGCCTTACAAGCCAGATAAGTTGATTAAACTTTTCCCTCATTCGTTAATTATTACATTTACTTTAATTAAATACATAGCTCCTTCAAATACATTGCTTATCAGTTCTTTTGATTTGTGTTTTGTTATCAGTACTTACACGTTGGGTAAAATACTGGTTAAGCAGGCACTAGAGCACATCGAGTTAAGTAGGGTTGATCGAACGTTACTGAATTGCAACACGCACCCCTATATATTTGCGCCATACATTTTGAACAACCTGATCACACAGTCACTTGTAAATTTAAATGTAAATATGTGACCAGGTTGTTCGAAATGCATTGATCGAATACATCACATTGTCCAGATAAACTTTGTCTTCTAATTGCGCTATCGAAATTTATAAAAGAGACTGACTGTTCCAAACTTTGAAGATTGTCAGCAGAACTGGTGGTGTATCTCTAGACTTTCTAGTTAAACTGTTGTGGACAGACGTATTAACACCTGGCACGAGTCATTTTTTCAGATGACCAGCATCCTCTTCATTCAAAGCCCTCTGTGTGTTGGTCATTAGGAAAGACCAGAGGTAAACACATAAGACTGAGTATTTACTAATAGACACAAAAGCTCTATAATACCATATTTAGCTCTTCTTCTGTGTGATGAAGAAAGTATTAGAAATGAAATAACTAGTCAACTTTTAATGTATTAGGAGTAAATTATTCATGCAAAGTTCACAGACAAAGATAAATTTTTATTTTAGTAGTCCATTCCACAATTACCTTTCATCTTTGAAGGCAAACTGATCAATGAGTACACAGCTTGCTACTATTTATGTATTATGAATTTGGTTGTCATTGTGATTGTCTATCTAGGTCAACTCTGCATTCTTCAGGAAGTTGTAGACAGAGTAACTATTCCTAAGTTGTGTTGTGTTGTTCTTATGCTATGTATACATATGCATTATTTCTGTCCAAATGATGCTATATGACATGCCGAAAATTCTGTGGGCTATTCCCATAAAACCTTTCAGAATGATACCACCATTAATATTAATATCTCACCGACCTGAATTTAGTGAAATTTAAGGACCGTTGTTACAGGTAACCGCCAACATTTATCCTTTCATTCTGGCTTTTGATAATGACATTTAAGTACCCCAGTGCCTGACCTAGCTTTCTCGAGTAAGCATCAAAATCTACTTCTATATCACACATATCAGAAAGTTTGGCTGTCAGTAGGAGGCTGTATTATTTTTGACAAAACACTTCCTTCTCCCGGCCTAAACTAGATTTCATTGGTGAACTAGCAGAGGTGGCAAGTTGAAAACTGTAGCTTATGTTCTTTCTTCTACTTCTTAAGCAGTTATATTCAGCCAAACAATACAGACAACGATTAACTTAAATCCAATCCTCAAGCCTCAACACTATATACACCTGCAAGACCGCAAAAGCAGCAAATGTAAGCGAACCTAGATGCTGGTGTTTTGGCACATAAGGCTTATTGACAGATGTATTGAAGGTCGAAGGTATTAACTGCGCAGATATGCAATTCGGGTAGCAGTCTTCAGAAACTACGGAGTCTATTCCATGAATTTCAATCATTATCAACGTCTGCAGAAATTGAAGATGTTGAATTACCGACAGGTAGATACGAAGAAAGATTAGGGCGCAGTAATATACAAGTTTGATGGGGTATATGGATGAACTGAGTACTGAAAGGTATTTACGGCTGGCCGATGCTTTCTAATTATCCAAGCAACATGAAATTGCTTCTTCATGAGGCGTCTGAAGAGGAGCTCCGACCATTAGGGGAATCCAAAGGATCACGGCGCATTGTCGCAGAACTCAAGAAACATCTATACAAAACCGGTCATTACTGTGAATGTCCATGGTTCCGAACCTACATTTTGATGTGAATATCCAGGCTGGCAACAGCCATAAAGATTGCATTAAGAAGCTCAAGGAAAGGTGTGGTGGACATTTAATTATGAATCCCTCAGATAAGGGTGGTTAAAATCGGAGAAGAATGCTGGCCATCTGTGACGAAAAGCCAACTGCTGCTGAACCGCTTTCAGCCAACTGAATGAATTATTTATCAAACTAGCATCGAAGCGTGATTTATTCATGCTATGGTGATAGCGGCTCTTAGCGTG